TTTTAGTTTTATTTTAGGCCTTATTCAAAATACCTATGCCTACAGCAGTTGATTTTTTTTTTTTATAACCAAAATAGTTTCATCCATGCCGACTTTCCGGTCGGTTAGCATGAGTCCTGACTGAACTCTGCAGAAACTTCACATCGATCTTCCCATCGCGATGTAAAACAAAATGTCGGAAAACTTTTCTTTGACGCATGCGCATTTGCATAAATGTCTACACACACACACTAAGAGACAGCACACACACACTACACACAATAAAAAACAAAAGAAATGCGACTCAGAGTGATTACAATAGTTCCTATTGCATTACATGCATAGGAACTAAAAAGTTGTTTGACAAAAAACTGGGGAACGGTGAATGAGAAAAAGGTGTAAAAAATGTCAGTTACACCCCTTTTCCCCAGTTTTTAAATATTCAAAAATCTGTACCTCATTCACCATTAACCAGTTTTTCATCATACAACTTTTTTCTGTCTTAGAAAAATAAATTCTACAACATATCAACAATCATTTTTTCCTCAGGAACCTGAATTTTTAAACTGAATAATTAGCATCAGAATGTGGTAGTAGTGTATACTTTGGCAATAGTAAGTTGATTCCAGCAAATAACCAATCATTTTAAAGCTTATAATGTGGAGAATTAGAATATAATAAAAGGTCAATTTTCATTGGTTACTGATACTGGTTTTGAGATGGCATACCTCATATTGTATTATGGACTTAATAATCACAATAGATGTATTCCTTGGGTTATCAATGTCATTAAATTACTTGTTTTTTCTCTTCAAAATTTAGCTACCATACCCACTCTGTGGTTTTTCTGTCACGCATTACCACAGGCACTGCACAGAGACAGACAGAACTGAGGTTCTCTATTCTCTCTAGACCATTGAGGATATAGGGCTAGGCCTAGAACCTGGGCCTTTTGTTGGCCTAGCCAAGCTATGATGACATCATAAAATATTAGTCACTGATTAGTGTTGTGAGCTTACCTCAGTGCCAGTTGAAATAGCTGCAAGTTCACTAACAAGACAGCCAAGTAGAGAACATGTGTTAGTCACTAATAATGGTGGATGACTTGGCCTTTCCTACAGAAACAAAAATTAATTGAAAATTAAAATTTAAAGAAACTATATTTTGTAGGCAAGAAATCATACTAAAATGTCTGATAATGAGGCTTGTGATGCGGGTAAGTGTAATTTTTGCACTATTGATTATTATAAATCTTGATGTAGACAGAAGAAGTTTGGTCTTACCCCCGGCATCATCATCTCCCTCACAGATATTGATAATATGTCTAAAAGTCGATCAAGCATCTCACGAAAACTATTGCAAGAGCCAGTTTCAACCTGAAAAAAGAACAAAATGTTCTATTAATAATAGGTAGATTTAAAGGTGAAAATAAACAAGGTCTTTAAGCACCAAATAGAAATAAATGGCTGAGAGAAAGAATGTTTTAGATGTTTTTGAATTGAGAAACCAATAAATTGATATTAGCATACAAATAAGTATTCTTGAGAAATTAGAAATTATTATGAACTTTTTTTAAAAATCAACCATCACAACTAATGCTCCTAAACACTTCTGAAAGACATCACTCTACATTCCAAGGGAAAAAGTGTTTGTAAATTGTATGTAGTTGCCCATTAAAAACAAGATTGCCATGTTCAACATGTCAAAGGTTGATATAAAATGTCCACGAACACATTATAATCACCATTACCTGTGTTGTTTGCTCCATGTAGGCAACAAGTTCAGGGAATTTTGAAGACATTGGATCGGTGGACACCATCGTTGGGAAGTTGTCGTCCATTGAAGAGTGTTTCATGAGGACCAATTCCACTTCATGGTCCTTCGTGATCGGCAAAACTGAGGTCAACCTAATGGAAGTGTCGCACAATGCTTCCAGCACGGATGCTAATAAGTACCCATTGTTAGCATTTATCTAAATGAAAAAGAGCATCCTCATTGTCAGACAGTGAGCATAAAATCATGAGGTTTGCCATCTCCAAACCAGCTTACTGTCACTAAATCTGGCAAAGACAAGCCAAACCTGTCACTTATCGCAAAATCCCGTTTCATAGATAATGGCCAAAACATGATGAAATGTCAACAATTTTGAAATCTACTTTATTGCACTAAACTAAACCTTTACATATCCATACATCATGCTATGCTGTTATTTTCCTCATTTTCAATGTTAAAACAAAATTTTTAACGATTTGGTGATGGTTTCTGCCTTAGAAATGCCCAAAAACATAAACTTTGAAAGCTGAATTCTCAAATATTGTTCTGTAAATAGCTGTTATGTCTAAACTCCTGTAACTTCATGACAAAATGTCGGATTTTAATGACTCTTTTACCGTTTTATAGCTCTCATTTTACTGTTTAACCCTGTATTAATAACTAAAAATTTATTTTTGCAACGAGTGGCTGGTTTGGCTTTGTCTTTGCCACAAATGTCAATTTTCTTGTTTTGTCACTGATGCTGTATGTTGGCATGGTAAGTCTCATGTTTAACCATTATTCACTTAAGATATGAGGAGTATCTAGGCCATGGTGAAATATCGAGAAAAAACGTCAAAAATTCATTTTTACTACAAAAAAGACTTAAAACTGATTATCAGCCTATCTAATGGTCTACACAAAAGAATCTAGGAAAACTTAAGTGTTGAGAATTTTTTTTATTATGATTTTAATGGATTTAAGTAAAAACAAATTACTTATTTAAATATACAAAGAATGAATTCAAACAGTGAATCATATTAGTTTTTAGCTCATCATAAATGGTATGTCTAAATAAGGAGAAAATGTATATTTATACATTACAGGGAAGAGCAGTAACAGAAGGCACATTATAAATAATGACGGAATAATGAAACCATTAAAATGTGTTTCATATCCACAGCATGATTAATTCATGAATAATTCATGAACTAATGCTATGTCGGCAGAGAAATCAGCAGTAATGACCATTCATTTATGAAATACACAAATATATTAAGAATAATCTTACTTGATTCATAGTGTTTAACTGCCAACATGGTCATGAAAATGTGTTTAACATGCACAGCATGAATAATTTATGAATAATGTCGGCAGATGAACAGCATTAATGATCATGAACTCATGAAATACAATACAAATAACGTATTTATTCAAAGTTTATTGATGAGAAGGGGTTTTGAGGGGGAATTTATTCAAGGGAGGTGTTTATTCCAAATGAGGCTCTATGGGGGTGTGGGGCGCTTATACAAGTATACAAGAGTAGCGTTTATTCAAAGCAAATGCTTAATCAAATAAATGTGGTATATTAATAACATTCTTACTTGATTCATAGTGTTCAACTGCCAACAAAGACAAGTCCATTTTAGTTGAGAGGTAGGATAAAACGCATGAAAACATTGCACAAATGTCCGATGACATTGATCTTGAATTCGCTGCCATAACTTCAGGCACTGACTCTTCCTCGCCAGTAGCTTCATCAGCTTACTAGGCTCCTTGAGAATCATGCGCAATAAGATGCCTGTATTGCCAACACATTCTGCTAACTGGTTAGTTTCCTGGACTGACTGCTTGCCTAAAAAAAAATGTTTTTGATAATGGTTAATGGATTTACTTTTCTGTAGTGCAAAATACTTACGCTCTTTCCACAGTATCAAATTTCCTTTATATGCAGATAAGTCATGATGTGTTCATATATAGTCATGATGTGCCTATATATGGTCATGATGTGATGTCATCAAGACCATATTTAGGCATGTCACATGTTTTTGTCAAATAAAATTTGATGGACTGGACAGGGCTTTAGATCTCTTTGTTGTGCCAGAATTAAAAAAAAAGTTTTCAATCACAAACATAAAGCTCTGTCCAGACCAAAAAACTGTTTTATGCACATATATAGTCATGATGTGCCTATATATGGTTACATGATGTCATCATGACCATATTTAGGCATGTCACATGTTCTTGTCAATAGAATTTAGTCTGCATAGGGCTTAACAAAATACATAGCATGCATTCTACTAAAATATGTGCATTCAATTATATTTACCTGTTTTGGAATAAATTTCACATATGTAATTCCTAAGCAACCTCATGCTGGCTGTTGCTATGTAGACTAATCTTTCTAAATCAAGTAGTATGGCTGTGAGGGCGGTGCCCTTGATGGCTGTGGTTTCCTTGGCAACATCTCTGAAGGTTTTCAGACTCCATTCCAGTAGTTTGGTAAGTGAATCAAACGCTTCCTATATTGATAATAGCAAAGCAAAGTTAATAAAATGATCAGTTTTTTCCAAGCTGGGAAAAAAAAATCTGCTATCTATATAAACATATTAACTATATTTCATGTTTGAATATATATGAATGGGTAAGCCTTACTGGTGTGACTGTACTGCTGAAAGCCCTATTAAGTATATGTACATTCTCTAACTGTGTCTCTCTACGACTTAGCCCCGAGTCTTGCTGGCAAAGTCTGCAAATATAAATATAACAAATTGAGATTGAAGTTGCTGACAATAAGGATATAAAAAAATAATTAAATTGAAATGAGCTTATGAAAAAATGATGTATTAGAGGCAAATTAAACACAAATAGAATTGAATATTTATACAAATATTTGTATTTTATACAGTAATTAAGCTTTTCTTTTATTGTGTTTATCAATCAAACAAACTTTATATAAGAATTTAAAATATAAAATTATTATAAATTATTATTATTTAATATTGATGATAAATTATACAAGTTCTTTAGTAAGTATTGTACATACAAATTAAAAAATTTCATTCTATAGTAACACTCTTGTTTTACACCAAATGTAAGGTCAAAGGTCATTCTCACCTGTACAACACCTGGGGAATCTGACCTGCATTGACATCGGTACCATTATTTGTCTTTTTAGAACTCTTAAATGTAAATACCACTCTGAAAAAAAAATTAAATACATTAAACCATTAAACCATAAACAATTGATACTTACAACATTCACTAAACAAAAAAAAACAAAAACTAATTATTGAAGTTTATAATATAACAATTTAAATAAAGAAAAGCAAATTGCACTTACTGATCTTCAGTGGTTACCGAGGCTTGACCGCTTGACCCACAGTCACTGCTTGGACCGCTAATTTTAGCAGTGATTGTGTACCAATGACCAGATGTAAGAGGAACAGGTTCATCGAATAAAACTGGAAATTTCTCCCTGAAAACAGATTAAATAATTATTTACTAAATGACTTGCATTTTAATGAGAATATTTGTGGTTAAGACTAAACCAATGTCAAAATTGTTGAAATCTATTTTATTGCACTCAACTAAACTTTAATTTTCAACATTAAAATGACATTTATTCATGATTTAGTGATGGTCTTTGCCTGGGAAATGTCTGAAATTGTAAACTTTTAAGACCATTTTCTCAAATACTGTTCTTTAAACAGCTGTATGATTAAACTCCTGTAAATTCATAACAAAATTTCAGATTTAAATGATCCTTTACCATTTTATATCACTCATTTTACTGTTTAACCCTGTATTAATAACTAAAAATTGATTTTTGCAAGGAGTGCCTGCTTTTGTTTCTGAAACCAGTATTTTGGTGGAGTAGGTTAGTTGGAAGACTTTACTTACTTGGTTCCGCATTCATAAATAATGTCATCACTCTCAGCTAATAATTCCCCCTCACCTTCATAATCACTAGAGGGCCCCAGGTCATAAATCTATCAATAAATGTAGAAACATTGTTAAAATATAAAAAATATACCAATAACTATGTATATTCTGCTATATATATTTTTAACATATATATTTCTTTCACTTCAACCAATAACTATGTATATTCTGCTATATATATTTTTAACATATATATTTCTTTCACTTCAACCAGTTATTATATAACAAATGTACTCTAATGCTAGACAATTATATATTAAATTTTGTAATTAGTGTTTGATAGATGAAATAAGTTAACATAAAATTAACTATAATATTCATTGGGGAAAGAATTGTTTTAAAATTATATCATATTTAATATTAAATTTCTTTCAGGGTGTTTTTACATACTCTGAACCAAAGACAAAAAAATTATTAGATGGTAAAATCTATGTAACTTACAATAACATTTTATTATGACTTAGACATGTAGATTACACTGGTGTTGTTGTAAAGAACCAATAAGGGATGATGCTTACCGCAATTTTTGCTGTGTACTCCCCACGTCCACCAAATAAACCGAGCCCACCAAGCTCTACGTTGGTGTCAACACTGACCCTTAGAGCCTCAATAGAGTGACCGGAGTAACCCCACCCACCTCCGTAAGCTGAAAATAGAATACATACACCCCATCATACATTGCTTAAATACAATCCTATTTTTATTATGTGAGAGATCATAGAAATTTAAATTTTCTGAGTCATCATTCGGAAAAAACTGAATATTTCTACCTTCAAACCGTTGCACTACATTAAAGTCATCCTTAGTGAATGATTTTGATGGTTTTGTAGCTTGGTTCTCCAGGCCCTCAACCACACTCCAGCCCTCAAGCTGTGAAGCTGTTAAAGTATCTAGGCTGGCAAGGATGTAGAGGGCACACTGGGAACTTGTAACCTTCCCTTGGTTGGTGCTTGGAAGAGCTAGCTCAGGACTGAAGACTGACAGTGTGTGATCAGGCTGGGATACGAGCACGCGGATCCTGGGCTTGATTGCACTGTATGATACCACCTCACACCTCTCGGTATTGTAGCTATTACAATAAAATAAAAGTGCCTATTGTTATTACAAAGGTTAAGCAAGCACACAGGGGGTGAGCTCTGGCATAATGGCTAAATTTCTCACATTTTATCACCAGATCTTGGTTTTAACCCCCCAAAAAATATTTTTTCTCAACCGAAAAAACTGCTCTCCAAGCCCTATATTGTATCAATGGTCCCTAAAGATTTTCTTTTCACTCCTCATCCCTCTCAGACAGCCTTTGTTATAGAACATTTAGGTCTCCAATAATTTACTGGAAGCATTACCCTAATCAATATGGTGAAAATTCACACCAACCACAATGACATGTGACTTACCTCCATAGAATGTTGTAGATAGGGTCAAAAGTGACACAATCAGCATACTGGTTAATACTGTTGACCTCAGAGAAGCTACGACACTGACCTTCCGAGCGGTTGACCATCATACACTTGACTCCCGAAGACTCATCCTTGGGAATTATTCCTAGTGTTTAATTTATAATTAAGGAATAATTTAAGGTTTATAATAATTAGACAGATATATAATGTTCGAATGAATTAATGTTTAAATACTGTATAATAATATCATTATTATTGAAATATTACTGTGACACAAATAGATTTGTGAGGAGGGGAACGAAAGCCCTGCCACTGCTCCGACAGGGCTTCAGAAACCTCCAATTAATATTGGAAGCAACAGCCTACAAGAATCCTGATAGGTGCCACCAAACTAACAAGGTGCCCAGTCTCAGTCATCATGTTCAACTGTATTGGACCAACCACACCACAAGAGGCTAACAAGTAGCTGGTGCTTTGGCATTTGGCTTCCACAATCAAACTATTCAAATATTTACAAAATATAACAACATATTTGCAAATTTCCATATCTTTAGCAATACTTATTTATTTACAGTTTTCAAACTTTAATTCAACATTCATCTAGCTAACTGCAATTTAATAAATAGTATACAATATCTCATTATGCTACGTTTTTATAAAATTGGCATCATGATATATGACAAATATATATGGGTATGATGATGTCATTCATATTATATGCATAAGAAAACAGAAGATAGCAACAGAACTTACCTATAGTATCAAATGTAGCAAAGACCAGTGACTTTTCTAGTGTGTTAGCCCCAATCAACGACTCATCCACTTTCACAAACGTTCTATCCCCGCTTGCTTGTACCCAGTTACCTTTCCTACCATGCTCTGGGCCAAGGTCAGGTACCCGGCCCGGTACGAGGTGAGACACAGCATCTTGATCATTCTTGTCTTCGTTCACAGGCCTGCCGAGTTGACCCTTCTGGAATTGGCCAAATGTGTACACACATCCTGAGCTAGCGAGTAGCACTGTGTGATGGTTGCCAGCTGCTACCTGGATGATTGGCTCGTTGACGGGCACTCTACATGCACTATACCTGCATAATAATTGGAATATACATTGTATTATATGTTACCATCACCACTACCAATACTACCATCAGAGTTACCATCACCACCACTATTAACATCATCACCACTACCACTACTACCATTACCAGTACCACTACCACTATCATCACCACCACCATTAACATCATCACCACTACCACTACTGTACTACCATCACAGTTACCATTATCACTACAACCATCATCTCACCATCACCAGCACCATTAACATCATCAACACTACCACTACTACCATCCCAGTTATCATCACCACAACCACAATCATCTCTACCATCACCACTACCATTAACATCATCAACACTACCACTACTACCACCACAGTTACCATTACCACTACCACCATCACTACCACCATTAACATCATCACCACTACTACTACTACTACCATCAAAGTAACCATCACCACTACCATCATCTCAACCATCACCACCACAACCACAATCACTGGTAATTTCAGACTAAATGATATTGTCTAAGGTAAAATCTGGATAAAACACCCTTAAAAATTCAATAATAATAATAGTAATAATAATAATATTAATAATAATAATAATAATAATACAATAAAACTTGTAAAGCGACTATTAAAGTTAATAAATAACTTGCCACCGGCGCTAAGAGAAAAATAGAAAAATTACTCATTCAATGTGAAAAATTGAAAATTACTCATTTAATACGATCAAGTAAGTGATCAATTTTCAAATAAGACACAGATTAATATTTTTACCTGTCCCTAAATGAATGGTTGCCCTTACCTGTTTTCAGTGTCTCCTTGCCCCAGTTGTCCATGGTTGCCCATTCCAAAAGCATACACATCTCCATTACTGAGTAGTACAACTGAATGGTACGACCCACAAACCACCTGTACTGCTGGTACCTTGTTGTCATTGATTAAAATCTCTGCGAGCGTTAGAACGTTCGGTTGACTGATCTCCTTCTCACCTTCTCGGTCATCACCGCTTATACTGCCCTCATCTGTCAAAAATTTGCAACAGATTTAAGTAACATTGTCAAGGAATAGGAATATTTGAAAAATACAGGATAAATTATTAAAGGTATTATAGACAATCTAAATTTCTTTTTAGAATTTTAATCATATAAAGCATTATCAAACCAATTACTATGTATATTAAAATCACATTCTTTACAAGATCATGAGTCAGGATATTGAACGAAGGCGTAAGGGAGCAATTAATGCAATTTTCCTGTACAGCGGCCGAGTCATAGGGAACTTCAGATTTGCATGACAATGTAGCGCTAAAACGGATTCACTGAACCGTGACCACCCTACGTTCTCTGCCAGACAGCGTCCTTCAATCCAGGGGACACCGAGAATCAACATTCTTGCATGCGCAGATGACTTCTTAGTGATACGAATAGACTCCCTAGCGTTAAATTATATTCAAAATGAGTCAAATTATTCTTACCAAAAGCCTTTGATTCATGTAATAATTTATCCAACAAGCGACTCTTTTTTTCCTTCTTGAAGAACACTTGTTGCAGTTGCGCCAGTAGGTCTCTGTCGGAGATGTTCTTGTGTCGGATTATGTTCTGGAACATTGCCCCTCGTAACTGACCTTTGCCCTCACCAGCGCAGCTCCTGCAACTGCCGCACTTACTACAGCCAGAATCACCTGACCCACAACCACATAACCTAAATGTAATTGATTAAAATATTTAATGTATATAAATGAAGCCACAAAAAATTTGGTACAGTTGATTTATTTACATACTTCAACTAACTGATTTCTGCAGCACCAGGCAGTCACTTGAACTCAGAAAACTGCTAACATAACACTAAGGCACAAGGAACTTCTGGAGGATACATATCTCTCTGTAGGGCCAGTGAGGTTGGGTGAGTTAATGGAGTGAACATCTGTGAGTATAGTACATTAATTGAAGTTGAAAACATTTGGAAAACTGTTGTACCACTGTATTTGGAAAACTGTTGTACCACTGTATTTTGATGTGTTGGTATTTACGTTAATGTTTTCACATTTTTATATATTTCATCTCCCTGTAATTGAAATTAATCAACATTTACATTATATGATGAGAACAATTATTACAAAAACAACAACAACAGTATTAAAGACAGTAGCTACAACAACAGCTGCATCTATAACAGCTACAGCAGCAACAACAACAGCTATTGCAACAAAAGAAAACAACAAAACAACAAAAACAGCAGCAACAACAACAGCAGCAACAACAACAGCAAAAAAGCAGCTCCAGCAGCAACAATAGCAACAGTAAAAACAGCAGCAGCAGCAACAACAACAACAAAAACAGCAGCAACAAAAACAACAGCAGCAGCAACAAAAACAACAACAGCAGCAACAAAAACAAGAGCAGCAGCAACAAACCAAGAGCAGCAACAAAACAATAGCAGCAACAGAACAAGAGCAGCAGCAACAGGACAAGAGCAGCAGCAACAAAACAAGAGCAGCAACAAAACAAGAGCAGCAGCAACAAAACAAGAGCAGCAGCAGGAAAACAAGAGCAGCAGCAACAACAAAAACAAGAGAAGCAGCAACAAAACAAGAGAGGCAGTAACAAAACAAGAGAAGCAGCAACAAAACAAGAGAGGCAGTAACAAAACAAGAGAAGCAGCAACAAACAAGAGAAGCAGCAACAAAACAAGATCAGCAGCAACAAAACAACAGCAACAAAAACAACAGCAGCAGCAACAAAAACAAGAGCAGCAACAACAAAACAAGAGCAGCAGCAACAAAAACAAGAGCAGCAGCAACAAAAACAACAGCAGCAACAACAAAACAAGAGCAGCAGCAGCAGCTGCAACAAAACTAGAGCAGCAGCAGCAGCTGCAACAAAACAACAGCAGCAGCAACAAAAATAACAGCAGCAACAAAACAACAGCAGCAGCAACAAAACAACAGCAGCAGCAACAAAAACAATAGCAGCAGCAACAAAACAACAGCAGCAACAAAACAATAGCAGCAGCAACAAAACAAGAGAAGCAGCAACAAAACAAGAGCAGCAGCAACAAAACAAGAGCAGCAGCAACAAAACAAGAGCAGCAGCAACAAAACAGCAGCAACAACAAAACAGCAGCAACAACAAAACAGCAGCAACAACAAAACAAGAGCAGCAGCAGCAACAAAACAAGAGCAGCAGCAACAAAACAAGAGAAGCAGCAACAAAACAAGAGCAGTAGCAACAAAACAAGAGCAGCAACAAAACAAGAGCAGCAACAACAAAATAAGAGAAGCAGCAACAAAACAAGAGCAGCAGCAACAAAACAGCAGCAGCAACAAAACAGCAGCAACAACAAAATAGCAGCAACAACAAAACAGCAGCAACAGCAAAACAAGAGCAGCAGCAACAAAACAAGAGAAGCAGCAACAAAACAAGAGCAGCAGTAACAAAACAAGAGCAGCAACAAAACAAGAGCAGCAGTAACAAAACAAGAGCAGTAGCAACAAAAACAGCAGCAGTAACAAAACAAGAGCAGCAGCAATAAAAACAACAGCAGCAGCAACAAAACAACAGCAGCAACAACAAAACAAGAGCAGCAGCAACAAAAACAACAGCAGCAGCAACAAAACAACAACAACAGCAACAACAGCAAAAGTGAGAGCAGCAACGATAATAAAGTTAACTTACATTCCGGGGTTGCGTTCTGCATTTATAGTATTGATGCAGTTAGCACCGTAGCCAGTACACTCATTACAAATTGTACATATCATGCATTGTTCATGCTTCCACTCATGGTCACACATCGGTTCATCGTCCTTATCAACTTCCTCCTCTTCCACTTCCTCTTCGGCAGGTAAAACTACAGCACCTATGATACACAAGCAAAGATTTTCTCCTATAAATTCTCTTAGATATCTACGAGGACTAAAGACATTCTACGTGTGTGGCCGTGGTGACACTGGGATGGTCGGAATGTTCTATATTTTTTAGTGATGGTGTTTTTAAAAGAAAAGTAGCCATTAATTGTTTATGCAGGTAAGTATTTACATAAAATACAAGTATTTTCCTCTAAAGCGAAATAAATAAATTGAAAAAAAAATCAATTTGTGAAAGGAACAAAAATGTCTGTACTTGCCTTCTTTACTAGCTTGACCAGGTGGAGGGCCTCGGCCACACTGACCTCTTTTATTAATACCAGATGTCCAGACGACCCCTGCCTTGGTCAGGATACAGGTGTGCTGTTTTCCTAGAGCCACCTGTAGCACAGGTGTATCTTTTAATTCTGTTACCAACCCTGAAAATTTAGATCGAGTAAAGATGAAGCAGATCACATTCATATAATAAAACTCTTTTAATAATCCAAATATATTATTCTTTATACTTTCAGTCACAAAAATCAAATCATTTTAGATTCATCTGCGACGATATGCAGATAGATCCAACTGCAATGAAATGCATACATGTGATGTATTCACGAAATAAACTTTTGTAAATCGCCAATATATGGGCATGGCGATGTCACATTACACCCATATATGGACATGATGATGTCACATTACACCATATATGGGCATGATGCAGAGGCGGATTTAGGGGCAGGGGCCGGCTAAAAAAAAAGAAAAAAAAAAGAAAAAAAGAGAGAAAAAGAAAAAATGATAGCCCAGAATGCCTCAAATGTTATGTTCGGGCGTCTAGAACACAACAATTTCGCGTGTTGTCTCAATCAGCCCAACTTTTGGCCCCCACTTCCGGCCCCCTCTTTTGGACATTTCTGGATCCGCCCGTGATGATATCATATCACATCCATATATTGGCAAATCCTAGCCATTTAGTACATAAAAATAAATAGTGCAGACAAAGTGCTTACAGCCCTGCCCAGGTTATCAAATATTCTTTGACAAAAAAA